GGCGTTTCTTGCTCGCACCATTGCCGTTTCCTGATTCTGAACTTTGGTCATCACCGGAATCTTGGCGTTTCTTGCTCGCACCATTGCCGTTTCCTGATTCTGAACTTTGGTCATCACCGGAATCTTGGCGTTTCTTGCTCGCACCATTGCCGTTTCCTGATTCTGAACTTTGGTCATCACCGGAATCTTGGCGTTTCTTGCTCGCACCATTGCCGTTTCCTGATTCTGAACTTTGGTCATCACCGGAATCTTGGCGTTTCTTGCTCGCACCATTGCCGTTTCCTGATTCTGAACTTTGGTCATCACCGGAATCTTGGCGTTTCTTACTCACGCCATTGCCGTTTTCTGAACCTTGGTTATCACCTTGGCCTTGTCCACCACGTTTCTTATATACACGTTTCTTATTTACACCGTTGGATCCAGATCCTTCGTTTTCACTTTCACCATTATTTACATTATTTTCACCATTTCCTCCTTCACTATAACCATTTCCTCCTTCACTTCCGAAGCCTTCACCTCTACCGACTTTACGTTTAAATAGAAATTATGTCAGTACACAAAAAAATTGATGAAAATAAAATACATAATTAAAATATAAATAATAATTACAAAGTAATTCTTTGCTATATGCTATTATAAAGATATTGAATGGATTTTAATAAATATATGTGACCATATATAAAATATCATTATTTAGTAAAATCTAGAAAAAATAATACCTGGCCTAGTTGGAGCCGCTATTGTGGTAGAGGAAGAGAGTAAAAGGATCAAACATACTGTAGATATATTTAACTTCATATTTTTTGATTGTGATTTAAAGGGATGTTTTATCGATTATTTTTTATTATTATTATTTTCGTGTGTGAGAGAAGTTATTTGTTTTTTAAAGAAATGAAATGTTTTGTTGAGTTGTAGGATGGCTTCGAAAGGTTGTTTATATAAGAAATTTTGGATTAACGTTTGAATATAAAATCATCGATTCTTTTTGATCAATTATAAATTTTGCTAAAATTGTTGATTCTTTTTTTTTTTATTCTTTTTTTTCTTTATTACTAAAACTGTTATTCTTTTTTTTCTTCCCGGCATTACATAAAAGATCTTAAAATTGGAACAAGATTTAAAGTTTTGAAAATTTTCAAAAGGTAAATTATTAATTTTGAATTTATTTTTTTTTTAACTTTATATTAATAGAAAACCCATATAAAAATAAGTATCACTGTAATTGAGTACTTTTGTACCGACATATTGAAGCATTTCTCGATAATTCATGATTCAAAATTTCCTCCACAACTCTCACTTGCCAATTATGGGAGTTACTATAACCAGCCTACATGTACTAAATTTCCTCCACAACTCTCACTTGCCAATTATGAGAGTTACTATAACCAGCCTACATGTACTAAATTTCCTCCACAACTCTCACTTGCCAATTATGGGAGTTACTATAACCAGCCTACATGTACTAAAATAAACAGCGGTAACTTCGTTTAAAGGTTTTCTGTGATTAAATAAGAATTAGAATTATACTACAATAAATACTCAATTATATTGCTTTAGAGCGTAGGAAAGACAATATGATGTTTAGGTTAGCCCGAGTTCGTAGCCATAGGGATTAGGATTAATTGGAAAAAAGTTACGAAGATCATTATTTTGTTGTCTGTTTATCGAAAAAAAGAAAACCATGAAAAAATTTTGTGCACTTTCTAAATAATAAATAATGTATATTCCATTTATTCAGTGTATTCATATGTTTTTTTATTTTATTATACAAAAGTCACAATATCGCTTCAGTCATTTGAATTTGCGATTAAAACTTTGTATAGGCTAACGGCTTCGTTTGATTAATAGTACTTATTGGCTGCTTCGCATCATATAATATCATTTGCTTATTTTTGTATTGTTTGTTTATTGAAGGACACGAGATAAATTACATTCGTAATCATGATTTTCCATTAGTAACATGGTTGTATGTTAAAAATAAAATTACAAAGATAATTTGAAATTTGACGATCCTAATGTAGAGATGATTGTAGATCGGGTCACTATTTTTCGAGAAGCTAGTTAATTCTTGGCGTTTTTTTCTAGAAACAATTAATTCTTGGCATTCTTGGCATTCTAGGCATTCTAAATAAGAAATATAAATTTCATATGTTCAATTTAAATCAAAAAATTGCATATAGTAAGTGCCTAACAAAGAATCCAGATCTATTAAGGTTTTGATTATAAAAGCTGTGAACTTTTAATATTAAAAATCGGTTGTAGAACAAATTCAAAAGTATTACTTATTAAATAAAGTTGGTCTTTTCTTTTATGGATGGCGTAAATGATGCGATAAATGCATGAAAGAATCGTAAATATAGAATACTATTTTTTAAAAAAAAATTAAAAATTTGTCAATGTATTGTCGTGAATAAAGTCCTAAATATTAATTGAAAATTAATTCCAAAATAAGCTACCTTTTTTTTATTAACATTATTCCCATAAATTTATAATTTTTAATGAAACCAAATAAGAAAAGAACTATTCTGGAAATAACGCCTCAGTACATTATTTCGTGTGGTAAGTTTGTAAGGATTATTATATATTTTGTAGTGGGCTAACACTTCATAAAACGACTGTAAAAAAATGAAATCTTATTCGTTCAGAAAACAGATTTTAGCGACAGATAATCAGATAAATCAGATAACAATAAATATAACCATGAATTTATGATTTTCTGCAAACGCAATACGTGTACTCAAATTAAATTCAATTAGCCAACGATGTGTATAAAAAAAACCCAGATTATCCATTAATACAGACAAATAGATTCCTCTCTAAACAAGATTAACAATGCATGCTATAAAACCGTCACAATACTGCTTATATTGTAACCAGTTACAACATAACCTTTTAACTATTTGGAATTTAAGCCGCAACAGCTCTTACCACATCGAAATTTTATTTCTCCACAAATTTTTTATCCAACCTAATAAAGTTAACCAAATCATTTTATGGGATTTAAAAATAAATAGTTTTTCTAATTTGACAGTTTTTCCGTTGATTTACTATTTACATACGATGTCGTGATTTACGTATGCCAATACATATGTATACGTATGCATGTATTACAACGTCAGTACATAAAAGTAAATTTTAAATGGGACGATCATTGTCAAAAAGATCCAGGCGGCCAAAATTACAAAACCGGCTTAGAGTGTAACAAATATAAAAATAGAGTTCTAAATATTTGCAATTTAACATTGCCAAAGCTAGTTAGCATAATAATTAAAATGTAATATTTTTACGATGATGAGAATTTTTTTTAATGTAAAGTAAATACATGTTAAATCCTAACAACCTCTCCTATTTTTCACATTATATAGTACAGCTGTACAGTAGTATACGAATATACGAACGCATGTATGTACGTACGTAAACGTACATACGCATGCATACTCGAGTTAAATTATAAATAGTGATTGTTTTTTTAGAATATTTAGATCTAATTATAATTATTTTTACCGACGCTCCAACTTTGGTAAAGGATACTAATTAAACGCTAGTTAATTTAGTGACGAAGTTAAAAACTTGAATTTTATTATGACTCTTATAACTCTGATTCTCGTTGCATTATCAATAATGTTATCAGTGTTGGAAATCTGGTTTGAGATTTATGTTCTGAGAACAAATTTACTAAATTTAATAATCTCAGAAATTTATTTATGTTCGCAACATTAAAATTTATTTATAGCCCTATTTTTAAATTTCGGAAAACATCGGTCATTTGGGTCTATTCCTTGAAAATGACCTTACGGTATCATGTACCGTAAGGTCATTTTCAAGGCAAAGAACCCATTTATTCAAATTTTTGTTCCAACCTTTCTCGTCTTTTATGTTCATTCATTTTCTTTTTGAATGATTTCGGAACTTCATTCGATTCCTAATTGTATTTATCTGGCATTATGTTTATATTGAGAACATATTTTTCGAGTATTATCTCCAATTTATTTTCATAGAGAACATTTACAGAAAATTAAAGGTTCTCAAATCTAAAGGTATGTTCTCATGAGAACATGAGTACATAAATTTCCAACACTGAATGTTACTACACTCTACCCTCGTTATAACGGACCCGATATAACGGATACCTTATTATAAAGGAGTAATTTTCTAAAACAATTTAAAATATTATTATTATTATATTATATAACATTATAATGGATATTCATTTATTATGGATATAATGGACAAAATCTTTCAGCCCGAAGGGTCCGTTATAACGAAGGTAGAGTGTATATTGCTGGCACGTGCAAAGTGTGCATTTACAGTAAATACTTATTTTCACATGCATTTTCTATTTAATATAAAGTTTAAAAAGATTAAGGTCGAAATGATCAATTTTCGTTATCTCATCAAACTTTAAATAAATCTTGTCCTGATTTAAGATTTTTTAAACAACTCCCGCCTTTGCTTTATTAATACAAGTATTTTTAATAAAACACGCAGCCTACAACCATATGGGGTCTTTGCCTTGAAAATCGAGTTACGGAACATAGTAAATCATATGTCCCATACTTGATTTTCAAGGCAAAGACCCCATATAAAAATATTATACGCTACATCAACTAAGTCGTTACTAAGGCTGTGTATTTTAAAGCTATCCCGAAACCTTGCTTAACCACTCAACCAAACCTAACCCGCCTACTTAACCTAAACATTGGTTACACGAAGCTCGCCGATTTTAGGACTGTCAGCATTTAACCGATTTAATTCTAATTAGTTTCCATATGCATAAATTTATTAATTAGCCTATTCCATGTAATTGGAGTATAAATAACAGAAGTTCCTAAAAATTTTCCCATTAACTCTCTTGCTAATATAATTCTTTCATTACTTTGAAATGTTACAAATATTATTGCTAAATTATTAATATCAATCAATTCTTTTAATTCTAAAACAAAATTTATAACTTCTTCTTTGTTATTTTCACAAAGGCCGATAAAGACTATATAATAATTTTACTGCTTTGATACCTTTTTCAAAGGTATCATATGTATCAACTTTTTCAACTCCTTTAAAATATTTAAATATAGAGTTTCTCATATTTTCGGCTGAGGGAATTATTATGCATTTTTTTCTTATAGCATGAAGTAATTTGTTCATTAAACTGAGTCTCAAAGATATCATTGCTAATAGTTCAATATTCCATGTAAACGAAAATTTACTTCCTTTTCCTAACTGACTTTCTACTTTAATTTCACCTCCATTAATTTCTACTAAACTTTTACAAATTGAAAGACCAAGTCCTGCACCGTCTTGCTTTTTAGTTATTGACATGTCACCTTGTGAAAAACTTTCCCAAACATGCTTTATATATTCTAGGTTTATTCTATTATTGCATTATTAATAAATTATATAATGCTAAAATATAAATTATATAATCACAAGTAATTACAAGTAGCTTACCAAATACCAGTATCACTTATTTCAATTAACAACATTTCTTTTTTAACCACTTGATCGTAAGTTGAATTCTTTTCTTTAATGAATTCTTGTGGTTGCATCGAAATTGTCAGTACTATTTCGCCTTCATTAGTAAATTTAACTCTAATAAATTAAAATGAGTTATTATATATAAATAGCTATAGGTTATAAAAAAATAAAATCTTTGCTATAGTCCATCACCATATGATTTTTCTAAAAACATAATTCTAGAGAATCATAGGATTTATTTAAAAAAATAAAAATCATATGGTAATGAATAATAGCCATCAAAATAAAATAGAATAGTTACGAATTTGATAATAAATGGGTTC